ATCGCCATACAGCCCTTAAGTTCGTCTAAACATGGTTCTAGCACATTTGTAGAAAAAGGACGAGTTTCTGTAATTCATCGTGTAAAACTATGGAGTTATTTGTATGACACTAACCAAAAAATTAGTTCAGAGGTTTTTTCTATATCACATATGATACCATATTTAATGGAAATAATTATAAGCCTCAAATGTCTGTATTTTTATTTCATTCAATATGACGCAGGCATACTCTGTGCTCCCTAAGCGAATATTTTATTATTGAAAAGACAAGGAAGGTTTTGATATAAAAGAGTTCATTTTTTTACCTCATTAAATAGCGATGTCTCCTAATTGAACTATTACTGATCTATAATTGTACAATAGGATTTTGAAACGAAATAAAAATTTTATGCCGATAAATCACGAGATACATCATTATTGTTCTTAGATAGACCTACAATAAAAATAACTAATGATCTATAATACTCTTTAAATGCATGCTTTCAGTTTTTATTCAAGTATATTATAATTGATTAAATTCCTTACATTAAACCCCTAAACAACATAATTCCACTTAAGAGTTTTGAACATGTGATAAAAGTTTTTCTTTTCAAACTGTGACGGTTAGTTGAATTTAATAATTTGATGCAAATCTACTATTTCAGCAAATCGAAATATTTTGTAAAAACAAATTTTGTTTCCAGCTCATCTTTTGACATTTAAGATGAGATTAATGATAATATTGTAGTTGCCGTAGTACGTGTTTATGTAATTCTCAAAGAACAAATCATCGTGTAATATAAAATGATTTGTAATAAGTTTAAAATATAATTTCCTATTCACTCTTATTTGACCATTAGCTCTTCAATTGTAAAGATTCGATTCGATTTAATATCACAGAGATAAAGTCACCCCCCCCCCCCCCCCCAGGTACACTGTGTGACTGGAATAATATTACTAACTTAATGAGGCATGATTCAAAGAGTTTTAATGACCACGAATATCATGATTGTTTTATCACATTATTTTATCAGATGTTATGATAAGTACTATAGGCCAGAAGGTATAACAAAGTTGTTGTTCTAACCAACACAATTATACTGATACAATCTCGTTATAATTGAGGCACTCTCAAAATGTATCAGTGATTGTGAACATGTATAGGTCATTTATAATTGTAATTGGCTTGCCAATTAATTTAGTGAAAAAAAAAACAACATTATCTACCTTAGATTCAGTTAACATTTCATTATTAATTCATTACCACACAAACATATTTTAAAGTTTTAAATGCGATTTTATACGACTTTACTATTAATTCAGTTTCTGCGAGTTATCTTATGTTTTATTGAATAAAAGAATAACTATTAGTTCTTGAGTAAAATTAAATTTTAATCTTCTTTTAGAATCCCCTAGGTCAGGTCACAATTTCACATTCTCTATTTCCTTATTTCCTTAAAATTCAACTTACTGGAACCATAAAAGATAAGCCACCAGTATAGAGCCAGGCTGTACAATAACTAATAATCTTAAAATTGATCTTTATTGTAGGCTGATTGACTTTAAATTGTCATTTTTCTATCCCAATTATTGATAATGGACAGGGTTCTCGAAAACCGGAAGCTCACTTCGAAAAATCAGTAGCGGACCTTTGACGGATGGGTCCTAACTTGTCAAAACAAATGAAGACCTCATACATTAATTGTTACAAGCAGCTTGTTGGAAATTAAAAATCATTCACATCCGTCTTTGTTTGTAATTTGAGTTCCCTCTTTATATATATAGAACACGTTGTTTATCTGGCCAAGATAATACAGTGTAATTACCTCCTTACGTCATGTGATGTCACCATAGACAATCCATTGCGTGGTTTATGACACTGTGTTGAAATCGTGAGTAAACAGAAAGATAAAAATATTCCAATCGCAAGTTTGAAATTGTTTCGGTTTTAGTTCGAGTCAACGTTATCCAACGGTGTGAGTAAAATGTTTTGCTTTATAGATATAGTCTTTGCTTTCATTGATGGTCTCAACATTATGAGCAAAACCAAACATAAGTGTGTATGGTATTGTAAAACTTGCAATTATTAAGATTTTACATGGAAATTGTTCAATCTGAGACAATTAATTAAGTATACATGTAAAAGTTTCTATATATTTTTTTGCACTTCTGCATATAATATTTACTCAAAAATTGACAAAATTGAGCGGACTATGCCGTTGAATCTTTTTATGGGATGGGATGGAATTGTTTTGAGTTGGAGTTTTTTATATAGATGCTGTTACATTTTAAAGTAGAACACCAAAGTAGCATTGCACTCGATTTTGTACTTGGATGGCATACGCCACTTACATGCCATGTATGCTCCATGAAAGCCGCCGTATGTATACTTCTAAGGATATTTTGAAATTTAAAATTCTGCTGAAGCCGGTGCCAGTGAACGTGACCAGTGGCTTTCACTTTCCTTACCGTCCATGAAAAGGCCCGATAAAGCCGAGGCTACAACATTGTCAATTTTGCCGTTTTGACCATTCTTTAGGAATTCAATATTTTTCTCTATATTTTCGTCATATTTCTATTTAGCTTTTGTTTATTTTTTTTCCAATTTTATAAATTCATTTTTTGACGTTTTTTTCTATGTTTATTTAAGTTATAATGATTTTTTTTTAATTTGCAGAAAATCGTTTTATTTACAGATACAAGTTATAAAGCATAATGAAACTCAGCGATGTATTGTTGTTGATTACACTTGTGAACTTGAGCGTGTTTGTGTGCTGCCAAGGAAAAACAAAAACGTCACGTATGTCACAATATTTACATCGTTGAATGGCAATTTATCATAACAGATTTCTGCAAATTTTCACTTTGTCACGTAGAATATCTATAATATTTATAAAATAATCACGGCACATCTTCGTTTTGAGAACACAAAATTACATGTATGTTATCATATTTAATGTTAAGCTGCAAATGAAAAAAGTGTACATTGTGCTTTTACATGATTTGCCCATTTTTTATTACCACAGTCATATCTGCGTTGGTTGTAAAGAACAATATTCCCGAGCAACCCAAACGTGTAGGTCTTCCGCAGGATTCAATTAAAAAGAAAGACGAAGAAAGGGAGACAAGCAGGTCAATTACAAGTTTTTGTCAGACGCTTGACTGTCTTCGAATCCTCCAGATGCTTGAAAGGCAAATGAACAATCAGTTTGATTTAATCATATTTTATTGCTTGAAACATGTACATGTAACATAGAGATTACATTAATACTAAACAGAATACAATAAATACGAATAAGGAAACATGTATGTTAACAGTTTGAAGCAAATGGGTTGGGCCACAAGTTTTACCAACATTAATGAAGGCCCTTCCCAGTCTTTAGGTGTATACAGTGAGCGCTGGTGAAATAAATTTAAATTTGCATAATATTCATTTTGTTTTTCTTACGTAAGAACAAATTTACTGTTTTTTTTTCGTCATTCTCTAATACATGATTTATTGCGTATAATATTTGATGTGTATTTTTTTTATTATTAAAATAACCAGGGAGATTAAAGTGTACATGGGCGTTTTTTCCAGATTTCTTGTACGCAACAAATCAATGTGTAAAATTACACTTATTTGATAACATTCCTAGTTTCAGTTATAGCTATATTTTGGATGAAAAGGTAATGTTAAATGAATTTGAGAAAATGTTAAAAGCCATTGCATCATTCATGACGTCAGTTCAGTGACAACATTATTTGCCATATTAAAAAAATTATAACTACAAATCTTTGAAATTTTCGCAATAACTGACACACTATATTCTGGTTAATTGTTATTTGTTGAATAATTTATTATGAAATGAGCCGTGTCATGACAAAACCAACATAATGGGTTTGCGACCAGCATGGATCCAGACCAGCCTGCGCATCCGCGCAGTCTGATCAGGATCCATGCTGTTCGCTATCAGTTTCTCTTCTTGTTATAGGGTTTGTAAGCGAACAGCGTGGATCCTGATCAGACTGCGCGGATGCGCAGGCTGGTCTGGATCCATGCTGGTCGCAAACCCATTATGTTGGTTTTGTCATGATACGGCTCAAAGTATATAATTCATATAGTTGCAGGACACTCGGAAACCGAAGCAAGAAGACTGTCACTGATATATTTCGCAAATGCCTTATTTATATAAACAAAGCAAAAATATCTACAATCAAAATTAATATTTGTTGCAACCGTTCACTGACGAGTCAATATATTTCAAAAATAGATATAAGAGGGATAAATCTACATTTTAAAAAACAACTTTTAGCATTGTAGTGATCTCCCTCGAAATGTTTCCTTTCTTGTGATACACTAGAATTTAATTCTTTTTGCCTTTTATATGAAAATGAATGAATATAGAAATGTTGAAGTATATTTTGTATCATTACAATATCATATCTTTGAATTGTAAAAAAATGTACATATGTATTTATATTTATTTGTCTTTCAAAATTTATCTTAATGTGCTTCTTTTATGAGTTTTATGTTTATATGCATGTATGTCGGTCAAAAGCTATACATAGCTTATGTTTTGTAAAATGTTATATATGTATACCGACAATAAATAAATTTTGATTTGATTGATTTGGACCTTCCGATCAAACTCTCTACATATCGAGCTAATCTTAGCATCTTGCTAATGTTACTTACTGAACTAATCAATAAACTTAATTAACGAATCATTTATAAAAAATATTGGTTTATATAAACATATTAAACCTTCGGGCACAGCAAGGTTAGTTTTATTGATATAAATAGAAAAAAATGTCAATTTGGATAATTTATTTCTACCATAAAATACATAATAATATACATCATTTACAATAAAATTAACCTTTTTGATAGTTTAAATTAAAAATAATAGTAGTTGGACATCCCGAATGTGACTACGAAATGTCATAATCCGTACATAAAGAAGATACGGTACCTGATGGCATTTAAGTAGGCAAATTGTTCATTAATGGCAAAATTACTTCCCTTTGTTAAAATCCCACCACTTGCAGGATAACAAAGAATGAGTCAGACAAAGTGGAATCTCAAGAAATCTGTCCGTTGCACGAGAAAGTTTAATAATCTAAGGTATGCATCACTTTTAACGAGAGGTTTTTGACTTTGAGATATTGCCACTTACAATAATCGTGAACAATCTTAGTCAAATAAAAATTGATAAACTGATAAATGCATGACTGGGCACGCTGTTTCCTAGTCCAGTACATCAGACGTTGCGGACTTTTAATAGTTTATGATGGTCAAACCCGACGTCTAATAGTTATTGCTCATAAATGCAAAGTATCAAATATAAAGGTGGCGCGATAGCTTAGTCAGTTAGACCACTGACTATCATTCCTGAGGTCCCAGGTGCGATCCAGGGTAACACCTTTGGGATTTTTCAGAGACACTTTCAGTGTTTCCCACCTTATTAGACGTGAACTGGAAAGAAATTCAAGTAATCTTTGCATGTATCAGTGCTATAAACTGGGCATGTTAGAGAACCAAGGGATATTTTCAATAAGAGCTAGAGACTGGTTCCCGGATTCGCTTGCATCTAATAGCTGTCTCTGATGTGACTAGTCTATTATAGTCATGTCTATGTCCCTGCGAGGGGTTTGACATTAATGGATGATAGATAGATAGGTGGATGGATGGATGGATAATTCTGTCCGTCTATTTACCCCAAGACTACACTATAACACCCAAAAACTGTCTCTTTGACAAGACTACCCCAAGACACCCCAATACTTCCACAAGACACTTTCACTAACATGTTAATAACAGTCTTAATTTTACATTGTTAATGGGAAGTAACTATGTGATTTCACATGTACAGTGAACACATTGAATTATCTCCCTTCTGAGAAAAGAAATATATCACACATACATGCCAACAAATAATCAATTTAATGCCGTAATGGCACTGATTATAACTCTGAATGGAATGATAATTAAAAAAACTGTTTTTCTTTTCTACATGTATATTAAGCAGTGTTAAATCTAGAATTTCAAAATTATTTCATCTAGAATTTCAAAATTAATTTAATTATGGGGAATTGTCCCCCACTCAGCTGAAAAATGTGGGAGATTTGAAAAAATGTGGGGGACGTGCATTTACCTAACAATATGTAAAGGTGTAATGGTTTACCGGTATACCCATAAATTGCAATATGAAAAATTAAATTTCGTACCGTGGTACGATTTTTGGGAAACTGGTATTTTACAAAGATCATAATTTTTAATTAATCGCCTTCTAATTTCGTACAAATTTCGTATAAAATATTTTTTTGGTGAATTTTTTGGCGTCAACGTAAGATAAAAATATCCAAAAACTAGTACACTTAAAAGTCAATACGCGGTTGCATAATTTACATAAGCAGCGGCCCAGGTGTGAAAAGTCACGCGAGACTAGTTTTGTTTATCAAATTGTGTGACACTTTACTTTCTATCTATTCCTTACAATTCTTTTAAGTTTCTAAATAATAATAATAATAATAATATATAATGTTACTTCATCTTTACATCAAAACATATACACGATATTACGTATTGTAATATATTGCAATACACTTTGGCAAAATGGCAATATATTGCAATACGGTTTTTGCTGTATAACCCCTTACAATATGACATACCATAAAGAATTCATTTATTTTATGGACAGCTATTGTCCGCTCAACAACAGAAATAGACAAAATTAAAATATTGACAAATAGCAGTAAAGTGCGCAGATCAAACTGTCAATACACATGATTGAGTATGTATTTTACTTTAGTCCTCACCCAAAGTGAAAACAAACATGGCAGAAGCATTTAAGATACAGTAGAGATTAACCAAATAAAGTTGAAAAGACTGTCAGATGTATGACTTCGCGGGCATTGACTTCATTAAAATGCATGATCTGAAAAAAAAGTGCAATTCACGCAAACATGCGGCCTAGATGCAACTCTGATTAAGTAAAAAGATCAAGTCTCAATAAATAAGTTAAATAAAATAAACTGTATTTGTTCCACATTGTTGTAATTGTTTTTACTTATGTTAATTTAAGATATATATAAAATATCTTTATTCCTTCTGTGCAAATAGTTTACAACAATGAAATGTAACTGTTAATTGCCATACCATTTTGTTGAGCAAAAAATGAATTTTTGTTATTAAAAAAAAAAGAGAGAGATTAAAAGTTCTTAAAAATACATTGTGTGAAATCCTTGTTTTTATTTGGTTGGGTCGTTCAGCAGGCAAACAGAGAAATTAAAATTTCATGATCATTATTAGGGTTTAAGTGGAATAAGAGATTATTACTTTGAGAAGCAGTAACGGTCATTGATTACATAACATTTAAGCACAAGTTGTACTTTATTATATTGTTGACGTCAATAACTTTTGGAGTGCCCCGCTGTCACCAGCATGTTTTAATGTAAAATTAAATATTGTTGTAATATAAGAAGCTACTTACATGCATTCTTTCTGTGCTTGTTTGTTATTAATTCTTCTAAGCAGTATAAGAATTTCAAATTAATATCTCAAATATATTTTACACAACAAAGAAAAGTCTGGAAGTTTTTGGATAACCCCTTGTACCTTAGGTAATTGATCATTGCACTTTTTCTACATTGTTGCTGTTATGCAATTCTAGCTATATTTTTAGTTAACACATACAAACAAACATATTTTTAAAATATCATCATGAATCCCAGGAATTACAACCTATCACACTACCTCTGGGAGATAATTCAAATGTCATCGGTTGTACCTTGTTACTCCCCTTAGATTATCTCTGACAGGATTATACATGTAGTTTAATAAAAATTTTCCAATTTAGACAATATATAAAGTTCTTGGGGTAAATGGACTGACCGTAAAAAAATTACAATTATTGTCTTGCCTTTCAAACTTCAATCAGAAGTTTATCAAATTTTCAGCATTTTCAAGACATGTTTGTTTTCACTAAGTGGGTCCAAAGTGAAAGTTAAGGCCACAATTCATATAACAACAAAGCTCACAATGTAAAATGATGCACCATTTGCAATTACACTTCCAGATTTATGTTTTAAGGACTATTATATTTAAAACAAAAATAAAACTGATAAAAATAAGAACATTAACCTCGCATAAGACAATGTAAAATCTGTTGCAAATTTTTAATGCACATTTCATAAATGGCAAAATCCAGTTTAAAGTTTGTTGTAGTGCAGAGGAATGCTATTTTTTGCAACAAACACACAAAACAAATGCAACCGGGCCTTTTCGGTCTTTGACACATTTTATTGTTACTGAAGTAATAGACTATAGTTTTCATTTTGTTGTCTTTTCCATACCCTTCAAAGAAGAAGGGGTATATTGTTTTGTTAAATTAATGTCTGTCGGTCTGTCTGTCCGTCGGTAGACCACATTGTTTCTGCTGATTATCTTAAATGCTTTTGATTACAAAGTCTTCATATTTCACATACTGATTGGTCATAACAAGTAGATGACCCCTATTGATTTGGGGTCATAGGTCAAGGTTACAGAGACCTGAAATGTCAGAATGTTTTCCTCTAATTATCTTGTAAACCATTTATCAGAAAGTTTTCATATTTCACATTTAGATTAGTCATATGTAGTAGATGACCACCATTGATTTTGGGGTGTCAAGGTCATGGGGTCCTTAAATGTGCGAATGGTTTCTGCTCATTACATGTATCTTGAAAACTATTTATCATGAAGTCTTTATATTGAACAAATTGATTGGTTTTAACTAGTGGATGACCCTTTTGATTTGGGTCTTTAGGTCAAAGGTCAAGGTCACATGGACGTGAGATCTGTCGGTCTGTAGGTAGACCGTATGGTTTCCAATGATTATCTTAATTAAAAACGAGTTATTGCAAAGTCTTCATATTTCACATACTTATTGGTCATTACGGGTAGATGACTCCTATTTGTTTTATGGGTCACTAGGTTAAAGGTCAAGGTTACATGGTCCTTACATGTCAGAATAGTTACCACTTATTATCTTGAAAACCATTTATCACAAAATTTTCACATTTCACATATTGATTAGTCATATGCTGGTAGACCGTAGACCATGTGGTTTCCACTGATTATCTTAAAAACTATTCATCACAAAGTCTTAACATACTGTTTGGTCATAACTAGTAGGTGACCCTTATTGATTTTTGGGTTACAAGGTTAACGTGACAGGGCCATTAAATGTCGGAATAGTTCTGCTATTTATATTTATGATAGCTTTCATTCAGTTTCAGGTCATACATTGGTCATTATTTTTTATTTTTCCATAACCGAACACTTCCACATACCCATTTATAGCATGTTTCTATTATAATAACAAAATTACCAATAAAATGAGTCAAGGGCTAGAAAGGGGGGCTTATGTATCGTTCGACATTTTTTGTTTACTAATTGATTTTTTTATAGATATGTCCCCATGTACTGCGTCTATAGTACAGTAAAAACCTGCAATTAAGACCATCATCGTGGTCTTAATTGTTGGATGGTCTAAATTGTGGATACTTTCATCATTGCTTACATACATTTTTGACCATGGTGTATTTTAAATTAGTCATTTTGTATGAATAAACAATATGTATCTTAAGCTACAAATACAATATATATTGTAATATTTAATCAGATGAGAGCAAAACATTTTTCTGAAGAAATTTAATATGAAATCTTTTTGATCTGATTTCAATATTTATTATTATTAAATGTACATACAGTATTTCACCAATCTTATAAGGCAAGATAAATGTGCTGAAAGTAACATTGAACTACAGTAACTCTAAAATTTACTTTCACACCTTATTTCATACAATTATCTTATAATAACAGTTTTTGACACCTTGTTAAATCAAGTGTCATGCCTAAGAGCATTCAAGCAGATAAATACAACAAATATGTGATCTTGGTGTGTGTTGTCTTTTTTTTGGCCAGCCCGCATAGCTCAATCGGTTAGAGCGCGAGACTTGTAATCTCGACATTGTGGGTTCGATTCCCGGGCTGGCCAACTAAAATTACTAATCAGTCTTTCGGATGAGACTTTAAATCGAGGTCCCGTGTATGGGTGCTTAAACACTTGGCACGCTAAAGAA